ATAGCAGGAAGATGGCCATTGATGAACCAGGAAGCAGACTAACTAAACACCAAATCTGTGGACACCTTGATCTTGGACTTGCAGGCTCCAGAAATAAATTACTGTTGTTTATAAGCCACCCAGTCTGTGGTATTGTTTTAGCAGCACGAACACACGAAGACCAATTACTGAATGAGCTTGAAGACCAATCCTACCCTGGTTGATTACCACCCATGGGGGATCGTGCAGCAGAGGGCCCAGCTAGGCTTTGCCAACTCCTGCCCACAGAAACCGTGAGACAAAAAGCCTGTGTTGTTTTAAGCCACTAAGTTTTGGGATAATTTGTTACACAGCAGTAGATAACTAGTACACTCAGCGAGTGATGGAATTTCCTAGCCTTAGCCATGGAAGAAAAGACAGCCACCTCTCACCCAGGCTGTGATGTGTTACCAGTCCTACGTGTTAGAAAGCCTTTCGCCAAGGGAGAGACGTTAGTCCTGCTAACAAAGCCACACCATCGCGCTACTGGGCCGTCAAGGGGACACAAGTAAGGAATAGCAATATTTTGGGGGGCATCCCCCAGATACCAGCCCCATTCCCAGGCAGATGGTCCCAGACCACCTTTTGAAGACACCTCTGCACCTTTCTGTTAGTATTTCTTCGTATGCCTACCGTCCTTATTTAGTCTATGAGCTTGTCAAGGGCAAGGATTATTTTCTAGAATATCAACCGGCATGTATTATTTATGCTTAATAAATATTGGATGCTTATGGATTACGCTGGCTTCCTAGGTAGGAAGGTCAGCTCACCCAAATGAATGGGGTGGGTTAAAAATAGATGACCATCAGGAAGAGCGATGTGATGGGAACCAAGAATACGAACACCTAAAATAGCCGCTTCATCTTTTCGGTCATTCTGGCCACTTTGGAAGCCACAGGATGTTGCAGGGGACAGACGGATGCCAGGGATAATGGATGTGTTTCCTTGCGGCCTTTAATGCCAGTAAGACACCCTTTTCTCTGAGACCTTCTGGATTTCCATGGGACCTCCCCATCACTACATGTGGACGGCAATGACAAGCAGGGAGGGAGACTGACCTTGCTCAGTGCATGTAAGGTCCACACGTGAGTTAACCTGCAGGGAGGGAGCGTACACAGACCCACGGGGAAGGAGGCAGAGGTCAGCATGGGATGAAGTCTCACTTCATAATGCCAAAATAATACATTCATAAATCATGTCAAATATATTTATGGTAGGATTAGACAGCTCACATGTCTACGTATGTGTGTGTGTGTGTGTGTGTGTATAAAATGCAGTCTACGTACGTGTGCATATATAATATGCAGTATTTCTTGATGTATTTTTTTCCATGAAAGCAATTTTCTGTTTGGGTTTCTATCAAGGATACCTTGACGTTATTCAATAAGGTTAGGAACACCTTTGAAAGAATTCGGTATACCATTCTTGGCTTTGTGTTGTCTTTGAAATCTCCGTTTAGAGAATGGGGTGATTGTTACATGCTTGGCTTTCAGGTGTTTATCTTCCTTTTCCTCCCCTAAAATGCCGACTCTGTGCATTTTCTGCTTTTCTTCAGATTGTCACTAGAGGGCAGCATATGCCCATGTGTAAATATCAGAGCAGGAGGGCACCTCAATTTACAGATAAAAGAATCAGGGCAAATTTTGCCTCCTTGGGCTTTAGGAGCACACAGAAAATTTAAATATCCACTGGATATCTTTATTTCACTAGTAATTATATCTAAATTAAGGATATAAAGACACACACAAGCAGACTTATTAGAAGTAGTAAGCTTAAATTAAGAATTCTAGAATCTTCAAATCATCCTTTTAAACATGTGAATACCAAGCATCTTGCGTTTAAACAGAAAAAACCAACCTCCCATTTCTCACTTCCTCTTCTGTCTTACTTAATTTGTCTTGACTACATTTCTGTAAAGTCAAGGATAAACAAATATTTGTGCCAGTTTTGCAGAAATAAATAGAACTGCCAAAAATATTTGGGTAGGAATAATTAACAATATCCGTTGTCATCTACTGAGGCTGGACCCTCTCTAGATACTCTTTCTCCCCTCAGCATCACTACCCTATAACAGGGCCATCATTTTAGGGCAAAGAGATGAAGTCTGGCTAAAGGACTTGCCTAAGGCCACGTGAAGGAAAGTGGCCTCTGGGATCAGACACAGCACCATCGGCTCTCATGCCGAAGGTCTGAATCGGAGGCTCGAGGCCACATCCTCTACGCTTCTCTTGTTCTTCGTCCTGCTGCTGAACTCCTAACCTGCAATGCCTCGGCTCCTCGACCTTAGCATTCGTTATGTATTTATGTGTGTGTGAGTGTGTATTATATATGTAAATACATAATATATATATATTGAAGACACACATTTTTAAAGAAGTTAGACTCCATATGTCACATTACACAGGCCGTCTTTGTCCTTGGTGCCTGTTCTTGGGGCAGAGGACATCAGGGCCCAGGTTCTTAGTCCTGAGGTAGGAGGAGGGAGGAGTTACTCAGAAGGAATTCTCAGAGAAGGCAACTTCCAAGAAAGAAGTTTCTAGAGAAAGGAGTGGGACAGCCTGAAGGGGAGGAAAGCAGAAGATACCAGGAAGGAGCAGCTGAGCTCAGACCAACCAGAGCAGTAACAGCCAAGGCCCAGGGGCTTGGAGGGAGCCGGTGTGCAGTTGCTGGACAATGAAATGGGCTTGTTAGCACCGGCACCTGCCCCTCTCGGAACTAACCCCTTTGGTGAGGGGTGAGGAGGACGGTGAAGGCCTCAGGGGCTCCCACCTGCAGCTTCCAGATGGACACTGCATAGAAAAGATGGTCCTGCCCAAACAAGCCACCACCTGCTTCTAGATCAACCAGGCCCTGGGCGAGAGGGTGCTGCACAGGGTCCTCCCCGTCTGCCTGCAGAGGCACCCAACTCCTGAAGCCTCAGGAAGAGAACTGAGGAAGAGCTTGTTGCCAATGAACAGCATCCAGACCAGGCCTGGGTGGGAGGGAAGCCCTTCTCTGCAATATAAAGTCTGGATGCGATCTCACGATACGATAGTAATTAGTACGTTCATTAGACTCTAGTGAGTCTGTCATTCCTGGACAACGGATTTCCACAAGCCTCTGTGCAAAACAGTTCTTATCCTCTTATTTGCTTCTTGTTAGTGAATCCTGGCATCTTCCCCTGGGCTACTGTTCTGGTTCAGAAGGGATGTTTTTAATAACAGCCTTGTAGAAAAAGGTTCGTTTGGTATTAAGAAAAATGAAGCGCATGTACCACTGTATGTTAATTATACTTCATTGAGGAAAAGAAAAAGCTCACAGACCCCAAGCCGCTCAGCCTCATTTATCTGGGATTTAGCTGTGCGAAGTAGGGGGAGGGGAGGAGGGTCAATTTCTGTCCCAGGGACTCTGCGGGAACTGTCCCTGGGTGTGTCTGCAAGAAAGAGTTAGGCCGCTGAAAGGGAGGGCTGCGGGAGTGACGCCAGGACCCCTTCCGTCCCGGCCAGAGGCCCCCTTTGGACTCGATTTCCTTTCATCCCTCTGTGAGTACAAAAACAGCACCAAAGGTCAAATATTTTTTCTAGTGTGTCATCTTGGCAAGCTGAATCGAAGAACGTATTTGTTGAATTTCTATCCCCAAATAATCTTGGCAGGTCTACATCAAAGAGGTGGAGGAGAATGTATTTCCTTCCATTTAGCTTGTTAAGCAAAATCTAACAATGACTAATGAGGTCCACCAACCAGCACAGTTAAAGGGTGGCCGCCCCCAGAGAAAGGTCCACAATCACACGAATCTGCGAGACCAGCTGGAAAGCCAGAGGTCCAACCTTGACTTCTGCTCTAATGAAAGAACCCTCTTTGCTGGATTCTTTGGTCAAGGAAGGCAATTTTAACTAGGTAAAGAAAAGACACAGAGGGAGAATGCTGTCTGCTTGAGGCATTTTGCAACCTCAAGCATGAAAGAAGCTTCAGGTTGTTCTCTTCACTTCAGCTTAGGAGAGGGTTGGCACAGGATGAATTACGTGGCATTTAATTGCTTTTTTTTCTTACATACACAATTCCTTGGCATTTTATTCCACGGGCACGAAGTAGCCTTCAGACTTGGTGTGCACTGTAAAAATCTGGGAGAATGAAGCAAAATGAGGTCATGCTGAAATTTCTCTTGTCAGCATGACTCCTGGAAATGTGGGAAGAAAGTCCATGAACCTACCTGCCTTTGCCCAGAGCCCTTCATAGCACCCGAGGGGCTAAAATAATTAGTCTGCACGAGTCCCGCCTTGACCTGTACTGGGCTGTCTTGTTTGCCCGCGTGGGAAAGTCAGGGTGGACGGGTGTCATCATGCTGACTTCTGGGTTTTCTTTCACAACTGAGTAATTGCCTAATTTATTCACAATTTATATTTTCAAAAAGCATGTGTGTTAGCAATGCTAATGATCTTCCCATGCCAAGTTCAGTGTGATGTCAATCATGATGAGCCCTTCTGTAAGTCACAAACAGTAATTACCAGGAAAATGACATGAGTCCGTAGTTAAGTGATGCCCTTTTAAATGAAGGCAAACCCTTTTATTACGCTGTAATCTTAATAACATCAAAGGGTGGGTAGCATCCAGGTACCACTATCTGGGACTAGCACCAAGAAAGGATCATACCTTACTCTGTGAACTAAGACAAAAGTAGTTAAGCCCAAGCTAACACCCCCTTTCAGGTGGAACCAGGCAGTACTTCCTGCACCCCGAAAAGTTCCCCGCTCCCTGCTCCTCTGGCTCCTTGCCTAGACGGAGCCCAGGGTCACGTTCTCAGCTGACTCCCAGTTTCCTCAGAGTCAGGGCAAAGCTCCCCAGCTGAAGGCCTCACACGCCCGGCGCGCAGGCTGCACCCTGGTCCGGAGGCCAGGGTGGGACACAGCTGATGCTGGTTCCTCCCGCGGGAACCTTGCTACACACCCAGACCTCTCCTGAGTCCTAGCGAGAAAGTGCGGTGTGGGGCCCCTGCCGTGACCTACCTGATTACCGTGGGGGTGATCTCTGCACAGAAGAACACACTGAGGCTTCCCACCGCGTGGGAGGCGAACATGCCCACGATGGAAAACGTGATGGAGAATTTGTCCTTGACACTATCACTCATACCTGAAGGAGAATCAGAGGGAGACGGTGAGGGGGGCGGGCAGAAGGGAAGGGAAAAGGAGGCTGGTGAGGCAGGTGGGGGGGGTGCAGAAACAGCCGCGGACAAGGGACGGGGGAGGGTCGAGGACCACACAAAGGGTCTTCCCCCTTCCCCTTTCCCTAGTTCAGGGTATAGCCTGGGGCACTCAGTTCCCTCTTGAGACCGAGGAGCGCCTCTAGGTGTAACAGGTCAGACCCTCTTGGCAGAAGGCTTTGTTGGGGTTCCCATGATTGCCTGCAGGCCTGGAATGCTGGAGCTCACGTGGACTCGGCCAGGATCCGAGAGGCCACAAGCCGTGCCTGGCAGGAGGGGAGGCTGGCGGCCCCCCGGGGCTGTGGCAACGTCCGCCTCCAGAGAGCCCTGGCTATTCTGGCCTCGGGTTTGACCCGTCCAATACCCAGGACAGGGTATGCTAGGTTGGACTGAAGGGAACAAAAACTCCAGTAACCCAAACAGAAGAATTTATGGCCTGGGGAGGGGGGGACGACAGTGCTCAACCCATCCGAGCACCTTGCAAACGGTGCCAGAGTCTGACCACACACCCGGGCAGCGTCTAGCACAGAGCAGTGGCATGCAGTTGGGGTCATACATCTGGGGCACAGCCCAGTTCCCTGCAAGGCCGTATCCTGAATGCAGGGGGTCTCACAGCTGAGAGTCTCGGCAGCATGGGCATGGGGCAGGCCAGGCACGTATGACCAGCAGCTCTGCCATCCCCGTGGCCGAGAGCAGCGAGCGGCCGTGACGCACAAAGGGGGACAGCAGCTTCCCCTGGCGGCACAGTCAGCCAGGCGTCCGGCGCTCCCTGGGGCTTTCTCATGCCCCCCGGGGGCCGTCCGTAAGACCAGCTGCAGCAGGGCCCCGGGCTGACTGCTGAGGCCGCGGGGAGAGGCGAGGCCATGCGTGCAAGCCAGGCACAGACGGGGAAACGAGGTGCTCTTTCTAGAGGCAAGAAGGAGTAAAGAATACAAATGTATGCTTATAGTGTCCAACCTACGGCCAACTTCAGCTGCAACTCTTGAAGGATAAGGAGAGAGGGGGAGAGAGACAGGGAGGGGAAACCACAGGACTGTGAGTCTTGATGAAAAGGCCCTTTTGCGCGCAATAAAAAGTGGTCAAGTGCACCGCACGGACATTGAGGCTCACCTGAGTCTGGATGCTGGCTGTATTTCCCAATCACTGCGCCCCCAGGAATGACGGCCCCATGCGCACAGGGAGGAAGACAGTGAGTGAAGGGGGGGAGAGAGAAAGCCCGTTAGGTATGAAGCCACTACTGTGCTTACCACGTGACTGGCTTCTCAGTGAACTCCCTTCCAGCCTGGGTTGGCCCCACTGCACCCCTCCCCTGCCCTGTCAGGCCCCCTGGGGAGCAGGGCCAACACCTGCTGGGGGCCAAGTGCTAGAAGGCTGCAGAGACCTGTGGGTGAGAGAGTCCCCGGACATGGGATTAGCGCCCGATTGAACAAAGCTCCTTTTGTTCGGAGGGGAGGGCGAAAACCCCTCTGGCCTCCAAATATGGGGGAGAATGGAACTCTTCAGAACAGAGACGCCCACAGCTCTTCTAGACCTCAAGCCGAAGGGTTAATTTCATGGTGAGCCACTGCTGGTCCGTGCTCCAGGGAGGAGCAGGACCACGGGGCAGACCCGCCCGGCGGCAATTCCGGCAGCTCTGATGCTCACGGCTTCTCCTGCGCACCTAGGTCCCAGGCCTTTCCTGCTCAGGGACAAAGAGGGCACCCGTGACACTCCCAGGGCTGCCTCTCCCTGCACCCAAAGCTCAGGAGCTTGCACAGGGCTCCCGGGCAGGGTAGCGTGGGCAGCCCCCACCAGGGGGACAGACACCACTTCTCTGTTTTCCTTGTCACAGCTGAAAATAAGACCCGTCACCCAGCAAGAGGCAGAATGCACGGGAACGTGACCAGATTAGGAAAATGGCTCCCGAGTTTGAAAGGAGCTGTTCTTTAATCCAGTTTGCACGACGAGGTTGAGAAAGTTTTGTTTTTTCCTTTTTCTTCTGTTCTGGACATTGACTCTCACACCTTGGAGGACGAGAAGGCCCTGTTTTCTCAGCAGCTCTGATCTGTGCTGCACCTGGACAGTCCTAGAGTCGAATTCCCAGCCCTCAGGTGGGCTCTCCTTGTGCAGGAGGGGAGTGATCTGCGACATCTGTTTCCCGCAGGGTCCAAGCCTGCCCTGGGAGCACCGTGCCTGGTGAGAGAAGGCTCAGCTGCCCGGCTCTGGCGTGTCTCGCTCTGGGCGGGTCAGAGGGATGCCTGGTGCTATTTCCATGCACAAAGAGCTGTGTCAAGCATGCGTCGTTGTACAGCTGGAGGAGCTGCAAGGATTCCCTAGTTTTTCTGTGAATTATTTTTAACATTCACTGAGGAATTCTTTGGCCCAAGGACAAGCTGATAAACTTGGGAACAGTCGCTGAAAAGCAGTGTCCCGATACAAGGGTGTCAAAATGTGCCCCTGATTTCCCATGAAAGAGCGCTTTGTTCTTCTTGTCACGTGACATATGACAAAGACACAGTCTGGCCCTCCGTGAAGTCATGCCCGCCAGCGCTCTGCAGGCCTCACGTGCTGGGGATGATGGTGGAGCCAGGAAGGCTCCCAGTTACAGCCCCGGGGCCGGGGTGGTCGGGTGGGGGCGGGTGTCGCACAGTGCACTCCATCAACGGCAGTCACCATGGACATTCCAGTTCAAACCGGTCCCTCCCAAGGCACTTTCCTCAAGCTACTGATTTTGGAATAATAGCTCAGGTCACAGAAAACTCTCCTCAAGTCTCACCCAGCTCTGTCCAATACCCTTTGGTCATAGGCCAGCTCCCCCGCCCCAGGCTCTGCCCGCCGCCCCCCAGGCCCGTCCCCACCCCCAACCCCACTCACAGTTGAGGAGCCCGAGCTGCAGGAGCGAGGCCAGGGCCGTGAGGATCATGAAGAGTAGCAGCCCGCCCCTGCGCCCCAGGAACCTGACCACCATGCACATAGCCAGGCAGGATGCCAGGGCAATACTGGCCACGGTGTAATAGTCGGCATAGAAGTTCTCCAGCAGCGGCACCTTCACCTCGTGGCCCATCATGCTCCGTGCAAAGCAGTGGTGGATCCCGTAGCCCGTCAGCCTGTGGGGAGACACACAGCCGAGGGGGGCAGTGGGCAGGCGGACAAAGGCAGGAGGAATCAATGACCAGGAAATAGAGAGGCAGCTCAGCATGTCACAGAAAACATGCTGTCACCACGAGCGAACATATGACCGGGTGCAAGGCAAAGGGACTTCAGAGACATGACAGGAGCGTGCCCCTCAGGGCGGGGGTGGCGGTTCCCTCTCCTCCACCATCCCTTTAGTAGAAGAGTGGGGGTGTAAAAGCAGTGAGACCGTCGGTTTGAACACCATCCAACAAATCCATCACGCATGACAAAGCACTCCCCACGCATCAGCTCACTTCATCCCATGTCGGTCCCCCCAGGAGCTCCTGTCAGACCCATTTCACAGAAGGGCAAAAAGGCCCAAGGAGGTTAAGCAGCTCGCACCAGTCTACCGAGCTGACAAGTGACAACTTCGAAGGCATCCTGCCTATCTGGGCCTCTGCCTCTTCCTGCAGCATTCAGGGTTCTGGAAACGTGGGGATCCATCCAGAGAACTACCTACTAAACCCACTCCTGCTGCTATTGACAAGACACACCCTGGGAAAGCTCTAGGAAGTCAGGCCAAATGAAGACATCTGGTCTTGGAGACTCTTGTTTCCATTCTTCATTTATCACTGTTTCCTTCCCTCTGCCCTGGGTCAAGCCTCTTTCCCGCCCCCAGAGGACCATATAAACCTGCTGGGAAACGTTGTGTCCGGGCCCCTGGAGGCAGACATCCAGTCTGGGAAGCGGGAATCCGAATGCACCCGGGGCCCCCACCCCCACTCCCCCGGGAGGCTGCAGGTGCCCGCGCACCACGTGGGCAGCGCTGTGAATGCCCATTTGTGACGTCAGCGCTCGGCAGCCGGCCCAGAGCTAAAAACCTCCTTTTCACCCAACCCCTCTTCCGTGCTTTGGGGAAATCGAAGTGCTTTTATCACACCATGAGGATGCGTCAAGGTCAACTGCAACAGACCCCTGCCCCTGCAGGACGAAGCTGCTGTTTGCCAAATGAACTCATTTCCATTTGGGAAATCCTCCGCAGAGGGCCTGCCGGTGCCGTCCTTTTATCATCGAGCAACTGGTGGAGACTGGGTTCACCTCTGGGGATCCCAGATAACTTTCTCTGCTTCTCAGCCTACTGAAGTCTCAGGGAAACCTACCTTTTTGTTCTGGTAGGAAGGCAGTCTTCTGACCACAACAGGTAAAAAGGCCAGAAGCATTAAACAAGAAGCATTAAAATGGAAACTTGGCATTTTCTCTATGTCACAATTTGTGTTTCTTTCCCCGAAATAAAAGTTGGAGAAGTCATTCCATTTTTAGTGGTCCCAGTAGCCTAGCTAGCTACTGTCTGTCTGAGACTGGACGATAGCACGGTGGCCGTGTCCGGAGCCGGCTCTGGGCCAGGAGGCTGAGGCCTCAGGGCTCCGGCCCTGACCCACCGTGTGCCTACGGCCTCCATCTCCCTGAGTGTAGGACAGGGTGTGAGCAGGAACCCCAGTATCGAGAACTGATTAAGTAGAGCTGCTTCGAGAGAAACAGCTGTGGGAAATGGTTGGACCAGAGCCCTGACCCTGGGCCTCGCTCTTTCCCGGACAGCAGTCCTGAGGCCGTTCACAGGTGAGTGTAAAACTACCCCCACCCCATAGCCTCTAACATCAAATAAGGGTTAACACCCGCCCCCCGACCTTAGATGACCACTGACCCTGAGTGAAGGCCACCTCGTGTGGTCAGGGAAGGGCAGGGTTATTGAGCTGTGAGTCAAGACGAGAAAGACCTTCTCGGTAACACTGATGCCGGGGCTTAGCCCAGGGCCTCCTGGCAAAGAGCAAAGCCCTGGGCTGGCTGTGGGAGGAGGAGGGCCCCTCTGCCCTCTCCTTCCCAGCCTCTCCCTGACTTCCACCCTCTCTGTGTCCCTCTTGTGACTCACGAGTTCACACACAGGACCACGATGTTTTTCCACAGGTTCCGGGTTCCCACCACTTTCACGATGCAGACCTTCTTGGGCCTCCGGGAAAGCTCCTTCTCCAGCTCTGCAGAGAAAGAGAGCCTGTGACCTCTCGGCAAGACCCCGGACAGGCAGCCTCACAGATGTTCCCGAATTTGGGCATCATGACAAGGGGAAACATTTTTTTTTTTTTCCGTTAAGCTAGGGGATAGGGTCTGGCTCTGAGGTTAGAAAAGGCATCCACAGAGACACCAGCTTTGCAGTTCAAATTTCTCCGTGGGGCCTGAAGGGAGCCACGACATGCTGTCAGAGTCCCTTGCTGCTGCAAAGCCTTTCTTGCCAGAGAGGCAGGACCCACACAAATAAGCCATCAGGGTAGACTCACCCCGCTTTGCCTGAGCACAAAACTAAATGATATTCTAGGTCACAGAGGCACTAATCAGGTTCAGGCCATATCAAAACAAGTGGTTCCTGTCCTTCTAGAGTCTGACCTGTCTGCCTCGCCACGCTCCTGTGCTCCTTAGCTTCGTGGGCAGCCATCTCCAAGTCAGGCCTGCACACGTGAGTGCACACATGTGCACAGAAGGGCAGACACAAGTGTATGCACACGTGCGTGTGTGTACGTCTTTGCCAACAGTCAAAGGTCTTTGCGACCCAAGCAAGACAGGCAGTGTTTTGCTCAGTGATGTGACCACCCCCCAGCGCATGAGATGGAGTTTCTCAGGCGGCTCAGACCAGCTCTGAAAGCCGTTCTGAACAGACTCCGACAGGCGACTCCAAGGCCCCACTCACAAGGTGGAGCAGTTTGCCGAAGGCCAGGTATCGACCTGGCAGCCTCACAAGAAAGGTCAACACAAGGAAATGCACCAGCCTCCTGGAGCTCCCTGTGCGCCCAGGAGCAGGAATGTCCCACATTCAGCCTCCGAGGCCCCTCCCCGCTCTCCCAGCCGAGCGGTTCCTCAGGACTCATTCTCTACTTGGGAGCTCGAAAGGGAAAGGGAGACCTAACCCACTGTTGGGTGGCCGGTGCTCCTCAGCACTGTCAAGGCCACGAGAGATAAGGCAGAGGCCAGAGGAGGCTGGGGAGGGGTGACCACTAAGTTCCATCCTGGATGGGATCCTGGGACAGGAAGTCATCAATGGAGAGACTGGTGACAGCCAGGGGAAGGCTGGGGTCATTTAGGTGTATGTACCAGCGGCAGCTTCTCGACTGAGACAAAGGTCTTGTGGTAATATGTTAACAGTGGGGGAGACGGATGGAGTGCAGAGTATTCAGAAATTCTGTACTGGTTTTGCCACTTTTCTGTAAACCTGAAAGTATTCCAAAATAAGTTTACTAAAAAACCCAAACCAACCAAACAAAAACAAGCAGTATGGGTGGGAAGGCACAGTCTACTGAGGAAGGCTTCCGAGCTTGGAAGAAAGAAGTACCTCAGGAGAGACCCCAAAGCAGCATTTGCGGAGGGGACCGAGCTATGGAAGTGCGCTCTGGTATCTCTTAGGGCCATTCCTACCCCTGGACGTCCCCAGTTCGACTCTCCTCTTCTACCTCTTTCCTGCCAGCCCATGGCAGAAGGGCCACAAACCTTATTAGTTACACTTTGAAGGAAAATATCTTGCTTAACCATGAGGGTTTTTTTTTGGATCAGTGTCACCAGCTGGGGCATGAAGGGAGAAGGAAAAGTCTTTCGATGTCTGAGGGATGCCATGCCACCTGAGTTTCCAGAACTTTCTTCCTGCCCCTATTTAGGTACAAAATTGAGGTCTATGCACAAGCTAGAACAGCTAGCACTTCAGCTGTCTCTCCATGGATCCCCCCAACTCCCGACGTCTTCCCAGCCTTTACTTTCCCCCCTCTGCAAACATAGGCTGATATGATTTACAAACATCCTTTCCCCTTGGTTAAAACACTACAAAACTTTTAAAGAACATGGAATTAGTATGGTTAACAGATGATATTGGATCCAATGGTCTGAGTGTCTTCACTGTTAAAAAACTCATCAAGGGGCGCCTGGGTGGCTCAGTCGGTTGAGCGTCTGCCTTCAGCTCAGGTCATGATCCTGGGGTGCTGGGATCAAGCCCCACATCGGGCTCCCTGCTCAGTGGGGAGGTCTGCTTCTCCCTCTCCCTCTGTTGCTCCCCCTGCTCATGCTCTCTCTGGCTCTCTCTCTCAAATAAATAAATAAAATC